TTTTTAGGTATATTAGGATCGGAACCAGAGAATATCTGATCGGAACTAATCGTCTCACTAATGGCCAATGGCCAATGAGTGTTAAAAGGATTTTAGGAGGGGAGACGAAGGGGAAATATGATTGTTATCTTTGTCTAATTCGTTGAAAATATGATTTTATATCTGCGTTAGATATCCTGTTAAATTTTACCATACCGACCTTAAAATTTTACCTACACTGTATGTTTGGTTTAATTATAAATTTATTTGATTTAATAAATTGAAAGTAATTTTTAAAATCATTCAAATAATAATTGAATGATTTCTGATAATAATAGTATATTACTTTATGAGGCGGAGAAGCATGACTTTTCTTGACGCGCCCGATATTACGCGCCGAACGAAGTGAGGCGCGTAATAGAGGGCAAATCAAGAAAAATCGCTTCTTTGCCGAATAAAGTATACTATTTTTTCTTCAAACGTAGCAATTTTCAACCATAAATAGTACAATTCATACGCTATTTTTACTCGAAATTAACTGTGACAAAAATTAAGTCGTCGGTGGGATTTGTGTATCCCTGGTTACAGTTGTTTGACAGTTGTTTGCAACTATTAAAGACAGCTTATTGTTGTTGCAACCGCAAGCGGAAATTTAGTGCGAAAATGGAAAACCTAAACGAAATTGAGTCCGAGGCTAATGATGCAGTAGCACGTTTGGAGCCCTCCAAGTCCGGAATAAAGTATCGGTTAGTGTACAAGCACTTCCAAGAGTGGTGCGATACAAGAGGAGTAAGGCAAGTTACGAAGACGTTTTACTGGCATATTTTAATATAATGGAAAATGAAAATAAATGGAAATCTTCTACAATGTAGTCACGATACTCTATGATAAAATCCGAGTTAGTTATTAGTAAAAATGTGGATATAAGCAAATTTTTAAAGTTACGTGCCTCCTCTGAAAAAAACAAGCGAAGGATACTGCAAAGAAATCTAAAGTTTTCACTAAAGACGAGTTTGATAAATTTTTGTTTGAAGCGCTAGATAAGTTGTATTTAGGATTAAAGGTAAAAAAAAATTATATTGCAAAGCATGTAGTATACTAAATTATAAAAATATTTGAGATTGTTTTGTTAATTGGGGTTACCGGCGCCTGTCGATGCGACGAAATGGTAAAAATGAAGACTGTGGACATTGAGGATAAAGAAAATGTAATAATTATCAAAATCCCAGATAGTAAAACACGACAAATTAGATCTTTTACGATAATCGGTCAAAACTACATTAAACTGTATAAAAAGTATGCATCACTGCGGCCTGAAAATTTCACAGAAAACCGATTTTTTATCAAGTACCAAAATGGGAAAGTGTTACCGAAGCGTCATGGGAATACATTCAATCAGCGCAGTAGCCCAAAAAGTAGCTAGTTATTTAAATTTTAACGATGCAAGCGCATACACGGGTCACTCTTTACGACGAACTTCAGGAACACTTTTAATTGATGGAGGTGGAAATCTAGAATGCCTGAATGCCTCAAACGACATGGGGGCTGGAAATCAAGCACGGTTGCCGAAGGATATATAGAGAATTCAATAAGAAATAAGAACGATAATACTCAAAAAATTTTAAACCCTCATGATTCGCTAACATCGGGAATGATTGCTGAAAGTTGTTCTCGACCATCAGTATCATCAACAATTACCAATGCGTATCAAGAGTCGGGAACATTTTTGCACGGTTTCAATTTTAAAAATGCCTCATTAACTAATTGTACTTTTAATATTACTATATATAAAAATGATGTTTAATTGTTGTTAATGACATTTGTATTGTTGATTTGTGACATGTTTCATATTGATGCCATGACAACATTTTTCCCTCCGCGCCGTAAAGAAATGGGAAAAAAAAACTGCTGCCGGCGGAGACATCAAACTTTGACAGGATCAAGTTAGATAAGTAATGTCATCATTATTTGACGTTTGAAGAAAAAATCAATTATTATCAGAAATTTATTAATTTTCCCTTTGTCCATTTCTCCCTCAAATAAAATAGTATAGATGTTACTTTGAAGCCACATAGAAAAATTAACGATAAAAAATAGCCCTGAGATTAAAAATTAATTAAGATAAATTTATTTGTTTTGCAAAATTAAGCCAAAGGCAAATAAAAGTTTAAAAAACATCATAAGAGTCATATTTTGCAATTCATAATATATATATATATATATATATATATATATATATAATATATATATATATATATATATATATATATATATATATATATATATATATATATATATATATATATATATATATATATATCGAGAAAAGGGTAAATGCTGCCTCCATTTCACCGGCAGCAGACTAGAAGCTTGTAGTGGTAACTTCATTATACTTTTAAATTACTAAATTTCAATCAATTACTTTAATATTGCTACCTAAAGTCAAAATTAAACCTTAACTATTGATATACTGTTGGAAGTGCATCTTAGATCTTTTAGTTTTTCTTCACATTTATGTTCTTTTTTATATTTTTTACATAATTTTTTATATACATGTACAACTACCACATGTTCTTTTGCTGTGCTAAGTTTAAGAAAATTGTTAACTATATTTAGTTCAATTAATTGTTTATACAACACAATCTTTTAATGTCCATTGTCAGAAGCTTCTTTACAATTTTAATATCATTGACTGCTACATATCTTTTTGAGGTAACACACTTAATAACTTTTCTTTGGATGTTAGGTTTTTCATATTGTTCTTTTTAGATGAACTGATGATGCTTTCTGATTAGAAAGCGAAACGTCTTCAATAAATAGATGAAGTAGCCATCATCTTTTTTTTTCCACCTTTTGACCGAAAAACCCGCCACTCTTCGAGTGATCCTTAATTTATATATATATATATATATATATATATATATATATATATATATATATATATATATTAGGTATAGTTAAATCCGACTCTGTTCTCTGGTCAACTGATTGATTTGATGGAAATGGAAATAGCTGGGCATTTATTAAGTATATAATGGATATTAGAATTTTCCGGAATGTTTCCTTCTAAACACAATAGCAAAATTTTCTTTAAATAGATTTTTTGATATTTTAGATGACAGTTACAAACAAATCATATTAAGTGCCAACGGTACATAAAGCATGAGGGTTTGAACCTTAGATTTCTGACCCCTGTCCCAGAGTACCTGTATTGTAGCCTCATATTTATTTACAGTATAAAAATATTCTAAATAATAATTGATGAATTACATTCATTTAATCAAAACAACAAATTGGACATTAAAAGGGAATCGAATAAATCAATTTACATATAATATATATTCTGGGAACTGATGACGAACTGATGGGAATATTATCACGTGGCGACTTTTCGGTACCCACTAATCGAATTAGCAGAAGCTCCCTTATGGATTCTAGACAAATATGCTCGTTTCCGACTAAATTCGGCATTGTAGGGATGCCTGATTTCAATATTGGCTTTAAAGGGATTCTAGGGAATGCCGAATTCTACTAATATAATTTGGTGGAAAAATACAATACTATGGTTGAGGCTTATACAGCGTGTTGTGATTTAATTAACGAAAACTTTTGTTAAATAGGATTACGGTTATGTTTAAGGGCATTTTATCAAAGAAACAAAACAAATACACATAAAAAATTAATCAAATTATCGATACATTATTTTTGAAAAGATAAGGCAGCAAAAAAAAATATTATACTAGTAGGGTTTATGGTACAGAATACTTGGTATATATGTATTAATACTTATCAAAATTTACGATATTTTACTAAATATTAGACGATTCGCTTAATACTTAAGAGAATGTATCACAAAAACAAGGAAACGGAAAATAATCATCAAGCCGAAAAAAAGAAAAATGGAAAGGGGATATCAGAAACATAACCCATGTATGAAAAATGAGGAAGTAATATTAATAAATGAACCTGGAGAAATAATGAGAGATTGACAAACTTACTTTACACAACTTCTAAACAAAAACGAAAAAAAAGGGAACAATCCAGGAAATTGAAGATGATCATATAGTAATAGAAACACCTACGAGGGAAGAGGAAGAGGGAAGAAATAAAAAATGAAATAAGAGGACTAAAAAACAATAAAAGGAATAACAGAAATATCGACAGAAATATGTCTCAAGAAAAACAAAAATAACAATCTACAAAACAGTTATCAGACCTACAGCTACATTGCATGTGAAACATGGGTGCTTAAAAAATCAGAAATAGACCTTTTAGAAAGTTGGGAGAGGAAAATACAACGAGCAATATATGGAGGCGTAAAAATAGATGGACAATGGAGAAGAAGAAATAATAAGGAACTTGAAGAACTATATAATGAACCAAAAATAACGACGGCAATCAAAGCACAGAGAATCCGATACTTAGGACACATCGAAAGAATGGGAAAGGTGAAAATGCCAAAAATGGTTCTATTACGTAAATCAATACAAAAAAGGAGAATAAGAAGAAACAGAAGAAGATGGAAAGACAGAGTAAATGAAGACTTAAAAAAATAATATTGTAAACTGGAAAGAAAAAGCTTTGGACAGAAAACAATGGAAGGAAGTGGTGAAGAAATGTATGGAAAGACAATGTAATAGTGATGTAATAAACAAATGTAATATTGCATATATTATAGTAGTATAGGATATAACATTATATATATAATATGTAATAGTAATTGTAAGGAAAAATTAAATCTTTCAGCCCTAGGCCTTCAAGGCCTATTGAGCTTAATAAATAAATATATATGTAGTATACAAATATATAGAACAAAACAACTTATGCAAGTGATCTTAAAATGTCTAAAGACTACATAAATATTGATTGTTCTATTCAACACACCGAAATTATACAAATTTAAAATAAAATCAATAAATAAGAATTTAAAACAGCAAGGAATCGAATATACACGCTAAAAACAAAACATATTGATCAAACCATCTCATTTAATCGACATTTGTATAAAAAGTTCTACTTACCCCTCAAAGATCGGGTGATAATGGGACAAAGCTTGTCTGAGTTGGATGTAGAGTTCGGCACAGAAGTCCACAAACGTAGGATCGTATTCGTCCGAAGCGATCACAGAAAACTTTAAGGACCTGAACCATTCAGGAGTGCCTTTTCTAAGCGAAGCTACAATGTCACCCCGAATTTCTTTGTTGAATGGACAGACCTTCCAAAAAGCTTTCTGCAAATTAAAAGTAGAAAATAGGAAGCATTGATAACTTTAGTTATGTAAATGCAAACGAGTTCAAAAAAATATAATTCTTCCAACGTTTTAAAATGTTCCACAAAGATTAAAACACAAAATGTACTTACCATATTCGACATATAAGCTAAACATCTTAGAAGATGCTCTAGTCTTGTTAAAGATGCCGAATGTAGAGCGGGGAATAATTGACGATGGTGCCGGATTTGTCGCAGCCATCTCTCTGAAAATACAACAAAGTGAATTATTCCTTTTTTTTATTTAAATAAAATGATTCGGTATACCTGTTAATTTGCACTTTTATAACCTTTCAACTTGAACAGAGAAATAATTAATAATTTAATAAAATTCAGCCTGTACTGCAAATTGCTGTGAACCGGCGGGTATTAGATATTAGATAAATTATAAAAACTGGTTTTGCTTAAATCCTTAAATGCAATAGTATAAAAACTTCATAGCACAAAAAACAATTTTTTGCTTCTGTCAAATAAAACAAAATAGTTGAGAACCGATAACTAGTCGATAGGCAACCAGTATTACAATGCGAAAAACTGCAATATTATTGCCAACTTTTAACAAATCAGATATCAATATGAACGTGGAAAAATCTCAAAAACGAAAATTTTAAATTAGTAGCGAATCTCGAGCGAATTGTAAGAATTTTTTTGGTTTTAGTGAGCTCAAAATTAACCAACTATCTTATAGATACACTTTTGGCAAAAAATGACAAAAGTCGCTATCTGAGAAAGGGAAAATTGCACTAAATAAGTATTTTAAATATAAATCTCCATAAATGTTTTTTATTTATTAAATAAATAATTCATCTAATCATATATGAAATTGTTCTGAAGCTATTTTGTTGTGGAATCTTAAAGAAATTACTATTTTAATTGGCAATAAGCCACAATTTAAGTATGCAGATAATATAAAATTTCGGATTTTCTAATTTTGTAATATTTAAAGGTTTGCCTAACACACATTCAAATGTGTGTTATCATACTCAACTCAAGGGAAGAAGAAATAACCCAAGTGATGAAAGAGAAAGAAAGAGAAAGAAATAGACATTTGTGCTCTATAGGAAACAAAAAAGAAAGGAAAAGGTCAATCAAAATTAGGTGAATTCATACTAATCTACAGTGGAGTAGCAAAAGAAAACAGGGACAAAGAAGGTGTAGTCTTACTAATACAACAAAGGCACCAAAATCACATCAAAGAGTGTTAATTCATATCTGAAAGACTAGCAAAGATAAGAATGGAGAAGGAAGCTCTGAACATCATCGGAGTTTTGTCTTTGTTTGATTTGTTCATTGTCCATATTTCACTGGCATATAATACAATAGGTCTTATTACTGTGTTATATATTCTTATCTTAGCCCTTCTAGATATGTTTTTGCTTCTTAATAAATTGTTTAGTGCAAAAATACAACGGTTACCGGCCATAATTCTCGCTTGAATTTCTTCCTTCATATTTGGTCTTCTCGTGAATGTCACTCCTAAATACTAGCATATTTCTACTTCGAATTTATATGTTTTTTCATCTGTTATTACTGTCAGATATTGTTCTTGTAGGTAATCTCTTTCTGTCCATTCCATATATTTGGTCTTTTCTTCATTTATGTACATCCCTTTCTTTCTCGCTTTCATTTCTAATCTTGTTGTTATTTCTTTTAATTCTTGCTTACTTCTGACTATCAGTACAATGTCGTCAGCGAATGCTGAGCATTGGCGTTTTCTTTGATATATAAGTCCTGACCTGTTGATTCCAGCTTTTCTGATGGTAACTTCGAGGACGATACTGAACAACAGCGATGACAGTTGGTCTCCTTGTCGCACCCCCTCACTGACCTCAAACTTATCTGTTTCTTCGCCATTTATTTTAACCCTATTCTCTGTTCTTCGTAGCGTCACTTTTACCATTCTTATCAGTTTTTCACTAATTCCCAATACTTCACAATACTTGTTTAAAGTCTATGAAGAGGGCCATTGTAGGTTTCCCATATTCCTAGCTTTCTGCTTGTATTTCGCGCAATAGGAAAATTTGATCCACTGTGCTGCGCCCTCTTCTGAATCCACATTGATATTCCCCTATGTCATTATCTATATTTTGAGATAGCTTATCTTTTATATATACTGCAAATATTTTATATGCAACATTTAGTAAGGCTAGTCCTCTGTAATTGTGGCATAAACTTTTGTCGCCTTTTTTGTGAAAAGGGCACAGTGTCGCTTCGGTCCATTCCTTCGGTAATTTTTCTTGTTCCCATATGTCTTTTAGCAGCTTTTCCAAATGCTTAATTAGTACTGGTCCTCCATATTTAAACATTTCAGCTGCTACTTCATCTCTTCCTGAGTCATCGGAGTATACGGTCAGAAAATAACAAGCCTCAAACAACAAGGGAAGCTTTTTACGACCAATTACAACAAGTAGTAGATCAAGTCAAAGAAAAGATGATAATATTGGGGATTTTAACGCTCGAATAGGCAATCAAGTAATACCCGGCATTAAACAAAAACATAACGAGAATGTTAAGAACGAAAATGAAGAACTGATGATCAACTTCTGCACGAATAACGAACTAAGAATAAACAATACATTTTTTGACAACAAAGACCAACAAAAATATTTATTTAATAACACCAGTGGACAAAGATCTATGCTAGATTATGTTATAACCAACAGAGATGTACGTGCACGAAACTTAACGTAACTAGTCTTAATAGAAAGGAAATTTAGCTGCAGAGATTGGCCCTTTGTGTTTACTGGCTCTGTTACGTCTTGTATGCTCTAAATCACGGTTAATCTCGACCTGAATACACTAATCAATCGTATTATATACGCGTTGGTAAAACTATTTAATTCAGCGACTGTAATTACGATGACACGATTATGTAGTTGAGGCAACTAATCTGAGTCCGAGCATGAATACTGCAGTGTACTTTTAATCACTTTGGGATCGGTTGTAACATTATGGATACATAGTCATTTAAATACTTTATTAACTTTATCATAACGATTCAATTACGAATCGAAAATGAATTAAAACAAAAATTAATTAATATCTGTAAATTAAATCTATTAATACTGTAAAATTAATACTAAATAGTTTAATCCAGCTTTTATTCAATCAAATGCGTTATAAAAATGTCAAACTAAACTTTTAAATATTAATTTAGTAAATTGTATATCTTGCCTTGCATCGATGTAAACCGCTCAGCCAACCACATTTCTTCTTCCTTGTTCAATGAATAATGAGGCCAATGTGTCTCAATATTCATCATTAATTGCAGCATCCATCTTGGATCTAACGGATGTTTCATATACACTCTGGACGCTGCAGCAAACCTCGACATTGCTATTTGCAGATCGTTTAAATCACCTGTGGAAAGAATTATTCATATAAGTATAAATTTAGGATGAATATTAGAATCTTACCTTGTACAGCATGTTGATGTAAAATGGTCAAAGCTAATCCAGGCAAATCCCCGCCCCAAAGCCACGACTCTCTACCCCAGTTTTTTAATTCGTAATTTATAAAAACTACTGTCAAGTTTTCGTGCTGCGTGACTTCTGTCCAATTGTCATCTTCACTTGAGCCGCGTGTTTCTCTGGTAGAGAGCCACAGTTTTAATTTGATACGGCCCTGGACGGAACTGCGTTGGGAGCGGGCCTCCAGTCTGAACCAACCCTCCAAGCCGGTTGAAGGAATATCCTGAAACAATGAAAAATATTTCTTACAATTTGAAGATGCTCTATACTAAAATCACAACCAAGACACTTGAATGTTACTAGGAATACTCCCGAATCATGATTTTTAATGATTTACATTGTATAAATCCCAAATCATGATTTACAAAGTTTATACATTGTAAATCATGATTCGGGAGTATTCCTATATCATAATCGAACAGGTTTTTGGTCTGGTAAATCACAAAACAGACTAGTGAGTGATCATAGAAGAAGGATTCGTAAATAAGCGTACACAACAATGGAGCAAAAATGGAGACAAAAAACGGTTAAAAAAATCACAGTAATGCATTGATTAGTGATCAGTGTAGTAGTGTCTGGGTGCTCGGGAGACTGAAACCTTGGTAGCCCTGAAGAAGACATCAAAGGGGATGTCGAAAGCTCGGCCCAATGGATATCGACGCGGTTCAACCCGAAAGACTGTTGAGTTTAATATTAATTCCTGTAATAGTATTTATCTTAGCTCTAGGTTTCTTTACTTGACTTTTGTTGTGTTAATTTTTGTACATACATTTTTTTCAATTAAGTTTGATAAGATCTACTCTTATTATGTTTATTATAATTTTAGCCATTTTTAATTCTTATAACTCACAAAAGGCTCAGGCGTTTTAGTTTATTTCTTCTAATACACATAAAGAAAATGTGTGCACAGATTCAGCAGATCTACTGTATATTATCATTCTATGTATTTTCTACACCGCAAAACCATATTGTTAACATAAGCTCCCGTACTAATGTAATATTCAAGATATAAGAAAAAGAAGAATTAAGTTTTTAAGGTTATGTCAATGTTCTCAAATATGTAATAACGGTTACACATGTTTAATTAATATTCTTAGTTTCTCAGGCTAATAATTATTGTTTAATAAACTTTTACAATTCGACAGTATAGTTATTTTATTTATCAGGTTATGGTTGCCCAGACACGGTATTACGGAATTTGAAAACTAGCCTGTCGTTCACACCGGTGCGTGGTAAAATTTATACGTCCATGTGGTAAAAGTTGTTTCACGTTTAAGTCGTGAGTTTCCTGTGTTTATTTTTCGTTACGTTCGAGTCGTACAATTATAAAATAAACATTTAGTGAAGTGCAAAAATGGCCTCAGCTGTGAAAATTGATTCTGGGAATATTACTAAATTTGATGGGTCAAATTTTCAACTATGGAAATTTAGTGTGACCATTTTGTTTAAAGCAGAGAAGCTGCTACCAATTGTGAATGGGACAGTTAGAGAA